TTAAGCTCACACACAGGGCTCTACTCTCCTTGTTTTATATTCATATCACTGGATACAAAATAAAAGTAACAATTCTAATAATGGCATATAGTTTATATTATTTTTAAAAATACCCACTTTCATGATTTTGGTTAAAGTAATTATATTCTCATTAAAGTCTCTGTAATATTTTCTTGAATATAGATAGGTTCCTTTCTTGCTTATTAAAAACAGGCTCTGATACACACACACACACACACATATATCACGACAATTAAAAAAAAGAAACCATGGGCTGGAGAGATGGCCCAGTGGTTACGAGCACTGTCTGCTCTTTCAGAGGTCCTGAGTTCAATTCCCAGCAACCACATGATGGCTCATAACCATCTGTAATGAGATCTGGCGCCTTCCTCTGGCATTCGGGCATACATGGAGGCAGAATGTTGTATACATAATAAATAAATCTTTAAAAAAAAAAAAAGAAACCATGAATTTTAAAGAGGGAATCATGGTACCTGGCAGGGTTTGAAGGTGTGAGGGCCAGCCATGATAACTGGTCATCAAAAGGAAGTTCTTTACTTCCAACCACATCACCTGGGACTCTGAATTTAAATAGGAGGCCTGGGTCTCAGTGGTTTGCCCTGAAGCAATACCTGGGGGCAGAAAAGAACCACAGGCTGAGATAACCCGACCCTCACCCAAGGGCAGGGCATTAAAAGGAAATGCCTGATATTCCAACCGCTAGGATCACCGGCCAGTACCTCACCAGAGCACCCAATGTCAGCCAATCAGGGGTCCTGAACCTCAGAGACCCCTCACCCCTACCTTTACTACTATAAAAACCCAATTCTTGGGGCTCTCTGGTTATTCTAATACATTGGACATGCCAAGAGACCGAGTTTGCAAACTTGATTAAAAAGGCTCTTTGCTTTTACATATGAGACTCAGTTTCCTTTGTTGGCTTTTGTGGCTTTGTTATACCCATGGATTTAGGTATAACAAAGGGAGAAAAGGGAAGGGGGAAATGATGTAATCATATATAATCTCCCAAAACTTAAAGGCCTAGAAACAAACCTACAAAATGATATTTCATTCCATGGTTAAGCTCTTTCACGGGCACTATGAGAGTGAATATGGCATAGTTCATGTAACTTGGGCTGGGGCTATGCAAAATTAGTTGGATAAGATAGGCAGTCCCGAAATTTTGCTGTTTATCCTCAATTCACATCTAAACAATTTTGAATCAGGAAACATGACTTCATTTCAATTTCTGCCTGCTTTGGACAAGTTGTTTTTCAGCAGCTGGAAACTTAATTACTGTGTTGATGAGCCAGATTGTCAGGTAAAGAGGATGTTACTGAAGTTTGTGAGGACTGGAGGCTAAGCCACAAAAGCTTCTCAGCAGGGCCTAGTGTTTTTAGGTATTGAAGGACTCCCAGGGGGACTTGGAGGCTCTGGGAAGCTTCCACACTCCTTCGGTCAGCCTTTCCATCTTGGGTTACTTCAAAGAGTCTTCAAGAAGCTGGGAGAACGTTTTTCACTTTTGAATATAGCAGGAGAGAGTGAAGTGAAGGATAGTAGGAAAGTAGGGGAGAGGAAGGTCAGGCGGGGAGAAGAAGCCCCTTATGTTAAACATGGGCAGTGAGACAAGCCCTCCGAAACTGGCTTGCTTTTCCGCTCTTCCTGGGACTTCTGCATGCAAGGATCTTATTCACTGGTTTAGTTTGTTTATAAAATATAAAATGTCCTCAAATCTTGGGACTAGAGAAATGGCTCAGTGGTTAAGAGTACTGGCTGCTCTTGCAGAAGACCTGGGTTTGCTTCCCAGTATCTACATTGTGTCTCCCAACTACATTTTCAAGGGATCTGATGCACTCATCTGACCTCCAGGAGTACCAGACACACACATGACACACAGTCATACAGGCAGGCAAAACATTCATACACATAAAATAAACAAATCTAAAAAACTCTTCAAATCCATTACATCAGAAAACTTTTACACACCTCTGTGTGCTAAGCAAAGTAGTGACAATGACCACATGGGTGACAAAAACTGGAGGACAGGAAAAGGAAATGAGAAACAAGTTAGTACCAGGATTCAAATTTAAATCATCATACTTAGCTTCGTTCTCTTTGCTTTGTCCTTGAAATCTATTTTGTGATGAGAGAAATGGACTTTAGCACCTTGTGCATCCTAAGCACATATTCTACATCCCCAGACCCCATGAGGTGAGTTTTCCAGGCCACGCGGCAGTTTGCTGCTTTGTTTTCAGAGACAATTTGCTAACATCCACCTTATAGATTAGCCATAGTGGGGATGAAGTGTAGGATGATGTTCACAGATGTCCCTCAGAGTCAGATTGCTTGAGTTCAACCCCAGCCTTCACATCTCAGGTACAGCATGAGGTTGAGGTGAATGTGACATTAGATTTACATAGAAAATGCTCACATAGCTTAACACACACTGAAAGATTCAGTACATACTGTGAATTCATGGGTACAGGCAAATTCCTTTGAATGCTTTAAATACTGGTTGAGTGATGTGGGATTCTCCTCTGTATGCTGTGAATACCATTGGTTAATAAAGAAACTGTCCTGAGCCAGTAATAGGATAGAACAGAGCTAGGCAGGGAGAACTAAACTGAATGCTGGGAGGAAGAAGGCGGAGTTAGAGAGAAGCCAGGAAGCCTCTGGAGACAAACACTGGGAACTTTAGCCAGTAAGCCACAGCCTTGTGGCCATACACAGATTAGTAGAAATGGGTTAAACTAAGATGTAAGAGTTAGCCAATAAGAAGTTAGAGCTAATGGGCCAAGCAGTGATTTAATTAATACAATTTTTGTGTGATTATTTCAGAGCTGAGCGGCTGGGAACCAACAAGTGGCTTCCTCCTACAGTTGAGTATCCAGTTAAAGATTTCCTTTCTTACTCCAGATCAAAAAGCAAATTATTATTCTTGGTAAAAAGAGATGAAAGTGCACATGGCACCCTCTGCCCATGGTCCTGGCAGTGGTGACACACACCTTTCATTCTAGCACTTGGGAATCAGAGGCAGGCTGACCTCTGTGGGTTTGTAGGCCAGCCTGGTCTACAAAGTGAGTTCCAGGACAACCAACACTGCTACACAGAGAAACCCTATCTGGAAAAATAAAAAATAAAATAAGAGAGAAGGAGAGAGATATGAAGGTGACACACCAACTCATTTGCTCTTGTGGGGACTGTGGGACTGGGGGAGTGGTTGAACTGTCCACCCAGAGCCACTTCATCAGTAGCTAGCTATCCAACATGGGGTTGCCCTGGCGGTTAAGTCCTAGTTCCAGTCCAATCAGTGGCCACCCATTGGAAGCAGCCCATTTATTACTCTATGTGTCATCTCATTCATCTATCTGGTGTCCAATTTTTTTCCTGTCCCACAAAGGCCATGATGATATACACAGGGGAACTCAGGACAGTGGCATCTAAAGTGAAAGCCTAGGATTTGTTCCTATCACTACTAGGTCTTCTTTTTAGGTCTGAAAGAGGAGCTGCAATCATTGCACTTCAGTTTTATTTAGCCTTGTGCTTTTCTAGTGAAGGTGAAAGCTGACACACAATCCCCTGCCTGGAAGAGGAGGAAGACAGCGGCTTCTCAGGGAACAAGGGAAGTCTTTCCTAACTTCGAACTGTGATGCGGTGTACACATCGCACAACCCAGTGAGTGATAGTATAGTTTTGTTGTCAGCTGGGCTTGGGTTTGAATTTTTAGTTAAATTCAGCTGATTCTGGGTTTTAACATTTTTCATTTGTAAAGTGGAGATAGCTTTTACCCATTAAAGCTGTGAAGATTCAGCTAGATAAAATATAAATACCTGTTATTCCTTAGTTAATTAGGAGATTTGTTTGGTTATTGTGTTGCACAATTCTAGGTCTAGAGACCTGGGACTCACTGAGATCCATCTGCCTCTGCCTCCCAAGTGCTGGGATTAAAGGCAAGGGCCAAACCGCCAGACACATCCTTCTTTTTCTAATAGTTCTTAAATTCCAGGGAGACAGAAAGGCAATGATGTTGAATACAAAGAAACAAATAATTGCAGAGTGCTGAGGAAGAAAAAAAACAATGTAACAAACACAAGGATGAATTTCATTCACTGGTTTTCTGGAGAAGTCAAGGATTCAACTGAGGGAAAGAGAGAAGGTCGGGTTCTATTAGAACCTAAGGCAGTAGTTCTTAACTCCTAATGCTGCGACCCTTTAATACAGTTTCTCATGTTGTGGTGACCTCCAACCATAAAATTATTTTCCTTACTACTTCATAACTGTAATTTTGCTACTGTTGTGAATCGTAATGGACATATCTAATGTGCAGAGTATCTGATATGCTGCCCTGTGAAAGGGTCATTGGATCCCCAAGGGGTTACAACCCAGAGGTTCTGAACTGCTGACCTAAATTATTACAGTGTTGGACTATGGGATTCTTCTGCAGGTTAGTTTGAGTAATTTTTTTTTTTTTGCTTTTGTTTGAGCACTGAGATTTTTATTAGGAGCTGAGATTGAGGCAGTTTGAACTTGTATTCTGAGCATAACCTGTAGCACACTATATTTACATGCACCGTATTAAATTAGTTTTATATTGCCTATACCTGCTGGGGAAATAATATCACTACTGTTCTAATAGAGAGTAGAGTAAGCTAAGGTGCTGTCTTGAGTTACTAAGCTAGCAAAAGAAGCCTCCTGAACATCTTTTTAGTCTTTGGTTTTCTTTTTCTTAATTTGTAACGGTTCATCTAGTCAGTTCCCATTTTTCTATTCTTTTTTCGCTCATCTCCTGGGGTTGCTTCTCCGCAGCCACTTTCTGCCAACCTGCAGCCCCGCCCACATTCCGGGGCGTGACCAACTCGCCAGGCTCCGCCCCCGTCCATCCCGTGACAGCCAGCCCACTCCTATCCACCCCCGACGGCCGACAGCGCCGGAGCGTGCGCGCGCGCCCCCGCCAGCAGCTCCGATCTATCTCGGGCGCGCGCTCTGTGTGGCCGCTGCCGCCATGTTGTTGTGGTTGTGAGAAGGCGGCGGCAGCGGCGGCAGCGGAGTAGCCGGCAGAGACGCTCCAGCGGCCCAGGCGCTGCCCCACGCCGGCCCTGGCTGGCAGCTTCGTGGGGTGGCGGAGGAGGCCGTGCGGTGGCGGGCCTCGCCATGTCCTGCTACCTGGTAAGAAGCCCACCGCCCCGGCTCCAGTGGCGAGGCGGTGCTGGAGGAGGGGCGGGCCTCGGCCGGGCGCGGCGGCTGTCACCGGCTGAGGAGGCGGTGGCAGGCGGGGGGCTGGGGTGGCCTCGGCCGCCCGGGCGGGCTGGCGGAGTGGAGCGCAGAGGCCCGACCGGTGACGCGGGGGAGGCGGGGTCGCCGAGCTCGGCGGCCATCCTGAACCTGGCGGCCGGTAGCACTCAGAATGTGGGGCGCTACCCCTAGAGCGCCCTGGAAAATGCTTCCGGGCCCCCGGGAGGTGAGTGTGTGGCCCGAGGCCCTGGCTGAGCTGGAGGGAGAGGCCGGAGGTCGTGCTGTTGGAACCTTCGGGCAAGCGGTGCGGGCCTCAGCATCCTCCTGACCTGGTAGTGCTCGAAGGGGAATGAAAGTTCAGGGGTGCATGAAGGAGTTCAGGGAACACTAGTCAAATGGCGCTGCAAAAGATGAGTGTTATTTCTTGGGTTGAAATTGTGTTGGACATATTGCATTTCGGGACCCAACATGATTTTGTTGGTTGGGGTCTGAAAACTTGTTTCACAGTTAGGGGTTAGCGTTGGCACTCTGGAGGCTGTCCATCTCACTTGGGAGTTAGATCTTGATGTTCAGTCGTCTTCAGACTGAAGTTTACAGTCTACTTTTCCTACTGTCTTGACACCCACTCGGTTTTTTATGTTTTTGATGTGTAGCCTTTTGCATTAAAAAGTGCATATGTTCTTGTAGTGGAGGTTCAACTTCGTTTCTCACCATGAGAACAGTGACCCGTCAGAGGTTATGATTGAGTTATATAGAAGGTGATTATCCAAAAGGCCCATGCTCTTGTGCTTTTACTTGGAGGCCAAATGAGTTGGTGGCCGAAGAAAGACTTCTTTTCGATGGCTTGAGCAAATAGAAGAGTTTGCAGGATGACACCATTTTGGGTAAATGTTGTGCAGTATATTATTAGGCTAAGTGTGGAATCTTCTGGAAGGTTGGATTGATTGCCTATGAAGACATCTACCATTTTTACATTTAGGTAACCCTGAGCGTTGTGAGCCGCATAGTGATTTTGTTCATAAGGCGTTAGAACACAGTTTATCAGGTTGGCTGCTAACTGAGGGTATGTCCAGAGAGGCACTGGACGGCAGAGCCTAGAGGAAAGGAGGGGAAGTGAGGCGTGAAGTCGGCTTTCTGCCCGCAGAGAGGGGTCCTGAAGGTGCTTTCTAACATACCAACATTGTAGTTACTCCTGAACCATCTGACTCAGGTTTCTAGTAAAGTGGAGGCTAGGAGGGTGTGTTACAGTCATTTGAGACCTGGGTTGTGAACCTGGAAGGTGTACAGTGGATTGTGAAAAGTTCTTGAGATTTGCCTCAGGCTGTGAGGTGTGGTAAAGTCAGTTTAAAAACCTGCTTAGAGTCCTGGTTAATACTTCGTGTGGTAAAGTGGAATTCTGAGTTGTCAAGGGATGTATTCATACTTCAGAGGGGTGTGTTGAGGATTGTTGCAGTTTTGGAAGAGGTGAAAGAAGGCGTTGTGACTGTTGCATAGGGTCTCATCCTGTCATACTACAGAGAAGTAGTTTTAGAGAGGTACACCTGGTTTCAGTAAAGATCAGAAGCCTTTTGTTTCCTGATGTCCCCACTACTTAGCTCAGTTCTCTGCAGAATTTTCTTTCCAGATTATTTTTTAAGCAAATGAATAGTATTGATATGAGAAAAATCGGTGTTATTAAAATTATGTGATGTCTTACGTTGAAGAGGGAGTTTTCAGTCTTTACAACTTTGACTTTTCCTTAAGAGATTCTGTTTTCTGTAGACTGTGAACTGTTTTTGAGTCTTAATGTATTTAAAATTTTAGGTGTTAGCTGGACGGTGGTGGTAGCTGGATGGTGGTGGCGCACACCTTTAATCCCAGTACTCAGGTGGAGAGACAGGCGGATTTCTTTGAGCTCGAGATCAACTTGGTTTACAGAGCAAGTTCCAGGACAGGTTTCAAAGCTACAGACTCCTCCCCCCCCCCAAAAAAAAAACCCACCAAAACTTTAGGTGCTAACACATTGTATTGAATTTAGAGGTAGTATACACACTGGTGGGAAATTCTGCATTGATCATGGATTGTGATTTCATTGCGTCACTAATTGCTGTTGGGATATTACTTCTCTGGACTTGAGTTTCCTCATCTAGATAATTTAGAGCTCATATTTAGGCTAATTTTACACATTTTAAATAATTTTTATATATAGGAAAGTGCATCTTTTATTTAAAAGAAACAACAACTCAGGCAAAAATTGCCAGGAGTTTGAGACCATTGTGGGCCATATAAATAAGTGCCACATTAGCCAGGGCTTAATAGTAAGACTCTGAGAGATGGCTCGCTGGGTAAAGACACCTACTGCCAGGCCCGACGCTGAGAGATGGCTCGCTGGATAAAGACACCTACTGCCAGGCCTGACGCTGAGAGATGGCTTGCTGGGTAAAGACACCTACTGCCAGGCCCACCAACCTGAGTTTGATCCACTGGACCCATGTGGTGGATGGAAAGAACAATTCCAAGTTTTCTTCTGGCCTCCACATATGCGCAGTGGCTCACATATGACTACACATGCACACACAAAAGTTTAAAAAGTAAACAAAACCCTTGCCCTAAAATCCCAGAAACAATATTCTGTCTTGAGTTTTGCTTTTAGCTTGTGGATTTTATACATTTCCTAAAAGTGCTCTGGAACTTGAGTGCATGTTGCAAATATGCAGAAACAACATACTTAATGCTGTTGTAATACTCTTAATGTTGAAATCAAGTTGGGTTTCACTGAGGGAACTTCGTAATTTGGTATGAAGACACAATACTGAGAATGTTTTGGAGAAGTTTGCAATCTGTGTGGCTTTTTTTTTTTTAACATGTTACCCGGTTCTGTAATTTTAAATGGTGAATTCATTTTTAAGTTTTAGAAATTATATTTATTTGTGTGTATGAATGTGGGTGCATGCATGCCATGGTACACATGTGTAGGTCAGAGGACAGCCTGTAGGAGTTGATTCTCTCCATTCATCATGTGGGTTCTGGGGATGGAACTCAGCTTGTCAGATTTGGCTGCAAGTGCCTCTATTTCCCGTGCTTCTATGGTGAATTTCTATGTAATCTCATAATCAGTGAAACACTGATTTAGAATTGAGTTTGAGGTCACTTCCATATTGGATTGAACTAGGTTTCCTAGTAATTCAAGACAACTACTACAATTATTAACATGTCATTGCTATTTTTAATATTAATTTTGTGATTTTGATACTGATGCTTTCATTTTTGTTTTTATACTGTATTTGTACTTCTAAGTTCATAATTGTATTCTATACCACAAATGAAAATTGTTTTATCATGATAGTGGATAGAGCAGTAAGTTTTGATTCTACCTAGTGTTGCTCATTAACCCCCCCTCTTTTTTTCTGGGAAGCCATGTAACATTCCCTCATTTTTAGAGGAAGAACAGTGTCTACTTATTTCATTTGTTGTGAGGGAAGATCAACTGGAATAGTGTATATGAAAAACAACCTAAAAATGTAATGATGTTAGAATCCCATTGCATTAGAATTTTTTTTAAAAATAATTTACTTTTATTTTATGTGCATTAGTATTTTGCCTGCATGTATGTCTATGTAAGGGTATTGTATCCCTTGAAACTGGAATTACACAGATAGCTGTGAGCCACCATGTGGGTACTGGGAATTGAATCTGGGTCCTGAAAGAATGGCCAGTGTTCTTAACCTTTGAGCCATCTCTCCAGCCCCTAGAATTCTTTTTAAAAAGATTTTCATGAAAGAGTTGGTTTGTCTAGATGGGTGGTAGTGGTGCACACCTTTAATCCCAGCACTTGGGAGGCAGAGGCAGGCGGATCTCTGTGAGTTCGAGGACAGCCTGATCTACATAGCTAGTTACAGGACAGCCAGGGCCATACAGAGAAACCTTGTCTCACTGCCCCCCTCAATAAACAGAGTTGGCTTGTGAGCAATGGTAAACCAGATGCATGTTTTTAAATGCAGAATTTCCTAATGCCATTGAAAAGGCAACAGAAGTGGAGAAACCTTGCAATACTTGTATCTGTTAATAGTGGATCTCATCTTGCAGTATGAGCCCTGGTTGGGCCTTGCTACTTGAACTGGAGTAAAGCCTGTCAGTTCAGATGCTGATAAGGATTATGTAGAATAGACTTACTATATTTGATCTTTTTTCTTATTTTGGAGCCTGTGGTGGAAAGTGGATGGAGCAAAGAGCTTAGCATGTTCTGTGTATAGTTTTAGATGTGTTTTTGTTCCTTTTTAAAATTTTTATTTTATTTTATGTGTATGTGTGTATACTGTGTATGTACTAGAGCCTGTGGAGGTTAAAGAGAAAGCAGATCCCCTGGAGAGTTGAAGATGGTTATGAGCCTTCATGTGGTTTCTGGGAACCAAACCCAAGTTCTCTGCAATTTCTTCAGCCCCAAAACTGTGTTTTCTAAATGTTGAGTGACATATTATAGGTTAATGCAATCAGTGTGGTTATTTAAAAAAGTATTAAAAAGATAAGTTAGTACAATGCTAATGGTAAAACTGTTGTTTTGAGGACTATGTTTATTACTGTTATCATCATCATCATCATCATCATCTAAATCTATATTGGGCGTGGGTGTACACCTTTAATCCCAGCACTCTGGAAGCAGAGGCAGAGGCATGAGGATCTTTGAGTTTGAGGGCAGCCTGATGTACATGTAGAGTTCTAGGCCAGCCAGGGCTGCATAGATATGTGCAGGTGTCTTAGAGCAGAGGCTAGACGTTAACTTTGGGTATCAGTCTTTGAGAACTGCCCATTTTGTTTTGAGACTGTCTCTCATTGGGCCCTGGTATTGTGTATTTGAATTTGTCTAAGCTGACCAACTGGCTGACCTTCCAGCTCTAAATATCTATCTGCCTATTCATGCTTCCTCACCAGTGCTGGGATTATAAACATGGGGCACC